TACTTAAATTATATCCAATTGAAAATGTGACTGGACACCGTTCAAGATTATAGAACAACTCAAAAAAAAAATAAAAAAAATATACCATAACGTGTTTAAAAGTTTCCAGAATTAATAAACAACAATTTTTTTGGCGGAAAATAGCTATTATTTAAAAAATAATAAACCTATATATATATATATAGTTTACATAGAATTTTAATTAGCTAACAATTCAATATATTCCATAAAAAATTACGCTTGTTATTTCAATTTTTATAATCATTATCTTGAGGTACGTACAAATTTTAATTGACCTGAAAATCAATATATTACACCAAAAATCACGTAGATATTACCTATATTAAATTGAAAAAGATTTCATAACATGATTAGCACACATATTTGCCATTTTTAAAACGCCTAAGAGGAATCATAAAAGGACATATATATTTTTTAAGAAAAAAAAAATGATAAGAAAGATGGATAAAAAAAAACATGCCAAGTAAATCTCCCCTATATATATATATATTAATCAAGAACGCGTTGAACCTACGTGGCTGTTTTTTGTGCTTCGGAATCCTATGTGGCAAAATTACATGCTTCGTTATTAGGCTTGGATAAATTTTAATTTAATTCCAAACAAAAAATAATTAGGTTCGGATTACCATAAATATATCGATTATTTATGGTCATGCTACATGTATTACTTGCATTTTAATATCATTCCTTATTATAACTATTGAATTGTATATATATTTTAAAAGTTAATAACTTTGTATTTTTTATCAGTTTTACATGTGTAATATATCAAATTAATCTTCTTTTGATGAGCTTCGATTTAACATCCATATTGTATGTATAAAAAAAATATTTATATTTATCTTTATAATAATAATAAAATTATTTTTAATATTAATTAGAAAAATAAAATTATTTATCAACTAATATATTTATATTTCAAGTAGTTATATGATATAAGTTATAAGAACTAATATAACACTTGTAAGTCATAAGTAACACATATCATTCTAAAATATATAGTAATATATTTTTTTGTAAAAAAGTAAACTAAATTTAATATAATTTTCTCATTAATTTTAAAATTTAAGAATAATTTTTTAACAAGCACCCGTGTAATACACAGGTGTTGTACTAGTAGGACAATGAGAATCAATCAGTATTCAATTTTAAACATGATTAGTATACACGTATTTATTTTAAAAATAAATCGAACATGAATCATATAAGGATACATAATAGAAAGAAGATAATAAATAGATCGAACATGAATCATATAAGGATACATGCACATATATATATATAATAGAAAATAGAATAATATGGACAAATCATAAAATTTGGACAAACAAGATTATATACACATTATAGAAAGAAGATAATAAATAGATTTATATGGAATAATTTAAATATAGGGACTATTCTACTCCTGTTCAAATTAGGTGACAATAATGCAGAATATATATATATAAACCGAACGCAACCCTCTTTTCCGACTGTTTTGAAGCTTTCTCAAAAATCCGTTTGATTATTGGCATCATCATCATGAGCGAAGAACATGTAAAGCGTTCCTCCAAACGCCTTATTTTCATTGGTAACTATCAAATCCCTTCCCGTTGTATACACTAAATTTAGTTGTTGTTTTTATTTTGTTCGTGTGTGCGCATGATGATGTATTGTAATCTTAACATCTTTTTTGATGTATGTTGTGCGTGCGTATGTATTTGGGTTCAAATACAAACATGTATAGTTCTTGTTTTTATTAGTAAGCTACCTCTCGTGTGTGATGAAAAGCCGGGTTTGTGTAGGTCCACCGGGTTCGGGTAAAGGTACCCAATCATCCATCATCAAGGACGAGTACCGCCTCTTTCATATTTCGACAGGGGATATGTTGAGATCGAAAGGCGATGAATTTTTGTCCTCAATGTCAAAGGTACAAAATACTACAACTATTGTGTAATTTTGGTTTTTTGAAGCTGCTATTAAGGATATGTTTGGTAAAACTAGCTGATAAGTTAACTTACAATATATATGTAAATTTTCGAGTTTATAGCTTATGACTTGTAGCTAAAAACCTAGCTTATATTATAAAAGTGTTTGGTAAAATTAGCTGATAAGCTAGCTGAAATAAAAAAAAAAATCAACTAGCTTATTTGAAAATGTACCTAAAGTAGTTGCTTATGAGACAAACTCGAGCTTTCTAAAAAACTCAGTCCTTTTAAACGAGATTTATTGAATAAGTTAACCAAATAAGCAAACATAGCCTCATTAGTTAGTTACTCCTTTGTAGTACAAGTAATCCTTTATATTTCCTTTTTCCTTTCATTTATATGTTCAAGGGAGAGTTTGAATCCGACGAGTTAGTGATTGGACTAGTTGAGGAAGCTTTGGACACGCCTTCGTGTCAAAATGGCTTCATTTTGGACGGCTTCCCAAGGAACACGGCTCAAGCCGAAAAGGTTCGATTTCCGCGTAAAATATTACATGCAAACACACACATGTATACAAGATTCTGTTATTATTTATTGTTTTATGTAAAATCTTGGCAGCTCGACGAGATTCTTGAGAGGAGAGGAGCTAAGATTGATATGGTGATTAGTTTCGAAGCAAGTGATTCGGTTTTGGAGGAGAGGATTACGGGACGTAGGATTCACATTCCAAGCGGTAGGATCTATCATACCAAATCTTCACCTCCTCAAGTTGATGGAATTGATGATGTAAGAACACTAGCAATTTTTTTTGGCTCCTCATTTTTGTGGTTTTGCTTTTAGTAGTTGTAATTAACAAACGAATGTGATCGTAAAACCTATCTCAGGTTACTGGGGAGGCTTTAATCCAACGGAAGGACGACACTCGTGAGGTTTTCAAATCAAGGCTCGAAAAATTTCACCGACAAACCAAACCTGTTAGTTAGTTTCTTCTTCGTTTTACGTACCAATACAATTTTTTCAAATGTTTTTATGTATATCTAAATCGAACGTGTATAGGTTATTGTTTTGCGATAATTTGTTCTTCAGGTGATAGATTACTATGAAAGGAGAGGCATCGTTGCACATATCCCGGCAGAGAAACCACCGGAAGAGATTGTGGAGACGATTCGCGAATTCCTGTAAAAATTTCACAAAATTACAGTCAAAATGTGACAAGATTTGGCCCTCTGTGGGTGATTTTTAGTACTGATTAGTTACATATGTTTATACCTCAAAAATTAAAGATAATCTTTTGAAGTTATGCAGATTGCCCAAAGTTAAATAATTTTATTTATCATTTGTTTCTCTATTGAGTATGGATATCTGTTTTAAATCTAAATGTTTTAAATCTAAATTGATTACTTGATATCTGTTTTTCATGCTAGGAAACATTTGTGATATCGTATTATTAAATGAGTTGCTAAATTTAGTAATTGACTAATGCAGGGCTAGAATATAATATATATCAACAGGAATTTCATTAATATTTGGCCGTTTTGATTATTTGGAACAACTTGTTGAATTTAGTAGATCGTTTTAGGAGGCCATAATCAAATAACTATAAATCGAACCTATACAATTTTTATAGTACGATGGTTGGATGTTCACGCCCGAATAGAATATAATATCCCCATTATTCCTTTGTTTTAAAAATAAATTATTTTTAAAATAAAGTTCGAGTCACAAAAATAACTTAAATTCCACATGTTATTAAGTATACTATTTTTTTTTCATAATCGAATTTTTATTTTCTTTTGTAATGAATTCGTATGCAATATTTTGCCTCGTTACTAAGTTCGTTCAAGACATAGTTACGGCAAAGGTCAGCTTGCTCTCTCACATCTTACTCAAGACATACTCAAGACATAGTTACTGTTCCAAAAGTTACTTTTCTTCGTACTCCGAAAGTACTGAGTTTGTCTTACAATACTTCAATTTGTTTCTGGACACTTATAAGGATATCCAGAGTTTTCTTTAGTTTTTCATAATTTCTTCCACCCTTGTTTGTATCGGGTGGATTTTTTCAAGAATCATCTGTTGGAGTTCTCCATAATTTTGTACTGTCCTTTGTGCTTCACGGATATCTGAGGACTACTTAGAAGAGTCTAGAATAACTTTTTTCCAACACAATAAATTATTATGACTCATCCTTCAGTATGATTCATATGATCACTTGTTGATGATTTAATAAATCGGTTTGCATCAATCGGTTTACCCAAATGACATCCATACGATACTTCTTATGTTTTTGACAGAATCTAGTAGTAACTCTATCTACTCCTGCCAAAACTTGCTCAATATAACGGTCATCCCCATGGACAACCATTTGTTGGTGTTCTTGTTCCGACATATTCAAAATTTGAAGATATCTATTATAATGCACACACTTTGGATAATTTTCACTATCTATTCTTAAAATTTTCTCCTTTCTAAAGTTAATTACTATATAATAAACCCATCTAAGAGTTCATAATAAAACCTGAGCTCTGATATCATTTTATGGAATATAGTACTCTTAGAATATGTTCAGGTACGAGATAGAAAGACATCATGACTGCATGAATATCTTCAACTTAAGATACTACTTTGGGTGAACCAGGTACTATGGTGAATGAAAACTAGATACTCTTTTCTTTTGCAAACAAGTATGGAACCATAAATGTATTTTAGCTTTAGAAGGAACCATTGATTTATTGACTAGAGAGTTGAATGATTTGTTGACTTAAATATATTCCTCTGCCCACGGTGGACAGTGCCACTAGTTTGTTTTATATGAAAAACGTATTTTGAGAATACGTTTTTCAATTAAATTTAATTGAAAAACGTATTCTCAGAATACGTTTTTCATATAAAACAAACTAGTGGGCACTGCCCACCGTGGGCAGGTGAGCGGGACTGTTTGTTGACTAGAGAGAATTTATCTATAC